ATTACAGGGTGGGGGTCAACTTACACATCATAAACCCCTTTGCCTACTCAACACAGCCACACGAGACATACATGTACAGATTACGCTGCTGTAACACAGATCCCTGCCTGGTTTGCATCCTTTTGGAGAACACCTGCAGCCTAACAGGTGTCTTCTGACCTGTCTCACTTCCAGTGTTTTCTCACCTATTCTAAGGAGGATGAAGGGGGTCCAAGTGGCTGGTCTGAAGGTGCAGCTATTTAAACACAAACCTGTGCACAAAGGTGACAGGTTGCCACTTGCGTCAAGGAAACCACAAGCTCAGGGTTTCCTATGCCACTTCACTTATCTCACTTCCTGTTTGGCCAGGGGGCAGGAAGGTAAGGGCTAGAAAGATAAAGGGCCAGGACAGACAAAGTTGCCCCTCTCTTTTCTCCTGCCTGGTCCCTCACCAACTCCACTCCAAGCCCCAAGAAGATACCAGGTTTCCTGCTGATTATGCCATTGGAGCTGCCCTCTCCTGCTTCTTGGGGACTAACTCTTGGGCCACCCAACTGTGGGGAGAGGGTTGCTTTGCGGAGATCACAGTGCCCATAGACGGGGGATCTCATGGCGAAGGGCTGGGTGCTGACTCAGGCTGGTGGAGAAATTTTACAACCTTCCCCACTTGGATACAACAATGAACTTGGAAAATGCAGAAAAAAGGAAAATGAACAATATGATCATTTATAATCCCACCATTCAGGGAAACCACTATCATATTTCAGCACACACCTCTCCTATGTGTATAAAGTTGGGATAACAATGCATATATTATTTCATAACGCCAATCATCATTTCTTCATGTAATGAAATGTTTGTCCACAAATGACAACATCATATGCCATCCCAACATGAGGATGTCATTTGTTAAATGGCCTCCCTAACCCCTGCTCCCCATCATGACATCTTTGAGCAGGAAGTATTATTTGGAACAAGCAAACTTGTGGTTCGTAATTCACTCATTAAACAGTTGAGTCAAGGTCAAGCAGAGCTTGCTGAAAGGAGGGGTTTAAAACTGACCTGTTCCACTCCAAAGTTTTGGCTTCATTCTTCTTCAGCTCCACTAGTTAATAAGTGAGTTTGCAGCTAGCTCTGACTTTGGACTCTTCAAAGACTCATCTAAGATTTGCCCTCTGACCATAACTTCTAGTAAGGAGCCCCTATAGTGGAGGCTGCTGTTGCTCACCCACCAACCCCTACTTCTGGGTATGCCAGCCTGACTGCTGCCTTTGGGATCTGTAGCTCTTGGTCCAAGGTCTTTGACCATGGAGACCATTCTGTCCATGTGGGCAGCATGCCAAAGTGCCAGGGAATTAATGGGCCCTTGGGAACGGGCCCCTTGCAAGGGACAGTCACGAGACAAGTCTTCTACCTCCCCAGGGCTCCCCAGCTCTGCTGGCCACTGCGGACACTTGCTCATCAATACGGCATTGCTTGGTTCCTTCTTCTCTCCATGTCACCGCTCTACTCCTCCCTGGCGTTTTCTGGGATCATCTCCCAGATAATCTACTTGAGTTCAGATCCTTGCCTCAGAGTCTGATTCAGGCAGAAATCAAAATAAGACAGTGCCCCACCCCAGGACTTATGGAGTCAGCCTTGGAGGCCTAACCCCCAGCTGTTCCCTCACATCTTTCCATGCTGAGGGTGGGCAAGACAGACAGGAAAGCTTGTGGGATAGCTGTCCTTCCCTGTCCAATGTCTTGAACTCACCTCTGTGACTACGGGCCACATTCACAGAGGGGACACCAAATATCAAATCTGCCATCATTTTCAAGAACAGGTCTTTCTTTTTGACAGGGTCGTCTGTCCCTCCTAAATACTCCTCAGTGGCCGCTGCAGTCAGTCCCTCGGGGACATTCTGAAAGGGATCAGGAATGAAAGTGACAGCTTCCTCCCTGTACCCGCCCCTGTGGCAAGGCACAGCTTCTTCAGCCAGTGAGGAAGACTTGAGTTAATGGGCAGCTTTTCGCCCTGTGCAACCCCTGACCCAGGGTGCTTGGGTAAGAAAGGCAGAGGGGTGTGGACAGAGACCCCCGGGCCTAGTCTTCATTCTGCCATTTAATTGCTCTGTGAGGTAAGGTGTGGCTCCACCCCTCCTTGGGTCTCAGCTAGTTCCCATGTTTCTCCCAAAGTCTTACAACAACAGGATAGGACTTCCATAGGAGAGATGTGGCTGACTCCTGGTCCAGCTTGCCTTCTGAGAGTGGGTAGCCCATCATCTGTTAAAATAACAGTTAATCATTTGTGACTCACTGGGAATTAGCAGGAAGAATCAACTGACCAAATGCCCAAGCCAATGCGGCTGAAGGGCCTCTCCCTTCGTTATGTCTCCTGGACGTGGGTCTTCGATGAGTTGGGAAAAATTAATGATCTAATGGACTTATATCTAGAAAGTCAAGATGTGCTGAAGATAAAGTAAATGTTTAGACAAGTGGGCCCAGACCTTTGCAATTGTCTGTGTCTGTGTCCGTGTCTGTGTGTCTCTATCTATCTGCCAACTGTCTATATATACAATGCAATTGTCTGTGTCTGTCTGTCTGTCTCTATCTGCCAACTGTCTACATATTCAGTGGTCAGTGAGACAGGGGAGGTTTATATCAGGCTAGTGCTGAAGTCAGGACACTGGAGAAGATGACACAGACCTCACAAATATCCGTCCCCATTCCAAAGGGCCAACGAAGCCCAAGTCCCTCCATTATGATTTTTTAAAAGATTTATTTATTTATGCATATAAGAACTGGGTGCAGGCTAGAGGTGTGGGAGGTGAAAGGGTTCACCAGAGACACAGTGGGGAACAGAACAGGCAGACTGACTGAAATACAATACTGAGGGGAACAGGGGTGAGTTAGGAGAGGTCTGCTGTGCAATGTGGGTCACCTCCCTGGCCAGCCAGGATTGAACTCAAGCTGCAGTGGCTGCAGATAGCTTCACAGTGCTGCATCTTAACCCCTTGTGCCACCAGGGAGGGCCCCCATTATGATTTTATATTATAGCTTTACTCCTTGGGTAAGACCCAAGAAATTTTTCAAGGTTAGGAATACAGAATTCTGTACTTAATGTCTCCATCCAAGCCTCTGCAGGTGACCACACTCCAGCATGGCCTCTGGCCACTTAAGGTCACATACCTAGGATGCCTTGAGTCCCTCTTTAAAACATCTACCTGAGAAAGCTCCAGACACCAGGAGAACTTAACTGCCATGGATTCTAGTAACAAACCTGGGATGGGCAGAGGGTCCTCAAACTCAGCTCTAGAAAGCTTGCCATTATAAACCTGGTCTCTGCCCTTTGAGATGTAAATTAAACACCCAAAACTGGTTCCACAAGGACCAGAGAGCCTTCTCTCTGAAAAGAAAACACTCAGTCCTGGGGTGTGGGGAGGGAGTATAAGGTCTACCCTTGGTGGGCACCTGGCTTCCACTTACACCACTGCTCCTGCCATCAAGACAAGTCGATTTCTCCTCCAGAGAAAACTCAGGTGGCCTAGTCACATGGACAAACCCACATGCACAGCCCACCTCTTAGTACACTATGGCCTTTATATGATCTCCAGCCTTTTGTATCAGGGATGAGAGCTCAGTTCACACTAGACTCTTCTCCCTATTGCAGTGGGGTCACTGAATAAACCTAATGTTCCAACTTCAATGAGTGTATAAAGCCCTTGCTAACTTTTAGAAGACAATTCTAACTCAAGAGGAAACACATTTCTCTGAATCTGTCCAATTAGATGACTAAGAGCAGAAAGGGGGATTTATGGGGAAACTGAAAATCCCAAGCCTGGGGGTGAGGCTGCTAGTAGGGCCCCAGGCTCACTCCTCACTCAAGTACCTCCTTTCAATGCTGTGGTTCCCCCTTCAGCACCCACGAGTCTCCCCCAGCCCCTACATGCCAGGATCTTGGTTTGAAGACCATCAAGAGAGGGTTTGGGGAGAGTCTCCTGGGCTATACCACCCAGGTGACCATTGGGGTATCCCAGAGAAAGTGTCCATGGAAATGTCAGTTTGTGCTAAAGGGGACAGGGATCTGGGGGAGGGGTGGCGGGGCGGCAGGCGGCAGTCTTCTAAGAGGCCCGCAATTGCTCACCATTGGCAGAAGCCAACCAAACTCATCCTTGTTGATTCCAACCATGTAGGGAACAGTGTTCAGGTTCTTTTCAGCCAGCATCTCTTCAGGGGTCTTCGGCAGCAGCACTCCATCAACCACAGTGGGCAGGAATGGGTGGCTCTGGGAAAAAGCCAGCATGCTGTTTGTGCTTCTCCCATACAGACACTGATGTCCTCATCTCCAACCACCTGGGTGAGACCTGCATGGCCATGGGCAGTGGCCACTGAATTCAGGGTCCTAAAAAAGGCAGCTAAGTCTTTCTGACCCCAAAAGGTAGAAGTTTGCCCAGGGGAAAGCAGTGGTAAGGTGATGGGTAACTACCCCAGCAGGAGGGCTGACAGGGCAGGATATTGAGAAGTTGCTTCTCAAGAAGGTAAAGTCATCAGAACCCGGCCAGGTTGCAGGATGGGAGGAGAGGAGAGATGGAAGGGGATCCCCTTCCTGAGGGTCCTGCAAATAGTGAGTTTGTGATACTAATCCTTCCTGCAGCTTTCAGGAGATCTGGGCCCTTCCTGTAGACTCCCCTATCCAGTTATCTCCACCTCTTCATGGTGGAAAATTCTAGTCTCCCCTTCTCCCCCAGGGGCAGGAAATATAAACATGATGGGGGAGGCAGCCTGGGGGCTGGGCCCAGGGAGTTAGAATTAATGAGTGGGAGCCCTGGATTAGGAATCAGGGGATTGAGTTCCAGATCCACAGTTGGTCCTCCTGGCGGTGTTACCTAGGCAAGTCACCGCAGCCCTCTGGGCCTCAGCAATACAAACATGAGTCCAGAGGGAGATTTCTTTCATTCATAATTAACTACAGCTTAAAGTTGTCAAGATTTACAACCTATAATCAAGAAGTCAAAGGTCCTTACCTCCCTGGGGTCTCCAAGTAAATCAAGAGAGAAAAATTTCTGTGAAGACAAAGAGAGAATGTGGGTGAGAAAGGAACCGGGGGAAAAAATCTGATGTTTGTGAGCTGTGTGCTGCCAAAAGTATCAGGTTCAAGGTATCAGGTTCTCCTCACTGGTGCCAACCTGGCTGGGCCAGGAGGAAGTGGGCAGGATGCTGGCTCCCCTGGACACAAGCTCAGGGTGGAGGTGGAGGGGGGTGCTGGGGGAGTGAAGGGGTTGGAGCACTGAGAGATGTCTTTTGTGCCTGCCCTGTCCTCCATCCATGTCTCCTCCTTGTTCCCCAGAGCAACAACATCCCGATTTTCCTTTGGGATACCTCCCATTTCCCCATTCTCACTCTATGAATCCAGGCCTCTGTATGTGACCCAGGGTGCTTCCTTTCCTGGGCACAGAGATTGGTTCAGGGATGGGCATGTGCCCATGTCAGTCCAGTAGAGTTAACCTCAACACTTCTGCTAGAATTACTAGGGAAGAGTGCTTCTAGACAGATAGGATCTAAGTGTAGAGAGCTATTGTTGTCATCGACCTCCCAAGGAGACAAACTCCTAAGAGTGAATTTAACATGGGTGGATAGGTGGATGGATGGATGGATGGATGGATGGATGGGTGGATGGATGGATGCACAGATGAATGGAGTTGGTAAATACAGGAATACAGGCAAATTGGATGTTTAAGTGGATAAATGCCTGATAACTAGCAGGTAGGTGATGAATTCACTATTGATTTTAGAGAGATGAGTAATGGGGTGAAGATATATGATGGCTGGATAAACATGAGTGATTGATAATAAATTAATGAAAGGTAAAAATGGATTGACATTAGGTTGATGAAAGGATATCAATGAACTGGATGGATTGGTGAAATTATAGATGGATAATAAGATGGTGAATGAACGGATGAATGACTGTGTGGATGCATGTTATCCCAGAGTCACAGTTGAGGCACTCTCAGAAAACCCCTACGGGGTTGAAACTGAGTTTCTAAATTAACCAAGAAAACTGTGACAATTTTTCTGAAAAATTTTTGTTCTTCGTATCGCCAATCTTAAAGTTCAGAATGGTAGTGGCGTGTGGGAATATGCAATGCCTGATTTATTAGAAATATATCTGAAACAAGAATGACAAAATAGAAAGTCTGATAGAGCTGGGAGATTATTATACCATTGTACATTATACTATTTTTTTAATTTACTTTTTTTAAAGATTTATTTATTCATGCATACAAGAACCGGGATACAGGCCAGATGTGCAGGAGGGTGAGAGGATTCACCAGAGACAGAGTGGGGAACAGAACAGGCAGACTGAAACACACTACTGAGGGGAGTAGCAGGCGAGACAAGAGAGGTCTGCTGTGCCATGTAGGTATCTCCGTGGCCGGCAGGGATCGAACCCACACTGCAGTGGCTATGGACACCTTCACAGTGCTGTGCTCAACTGCCTGCGCCACCAGGGAGGCCCCATTATACTATTTTTTGACTTTGCGAATGTTTAAGATATTTCCGAATAAAAAAGGAATGAAGAAATACTTCCTCCAGACCAGAAGCTGACATTAGCCTGGACAGCTGAGAAACGTCCCAGGTAGTCTTTCTGAGGCCCAGTTCACAGGCTTGGGGAAGGTACAGCGAGAGGTGTGTATAGGTACCTACCATCTTCAGCGACACGTCCAAAAGCTCTTCCTCTGTCTTCTGGCGCAGGCAGTGAACAAGGACAGCTGAAGTGGTTGTCTTACAACCAGCAAAGAAAGCAATTTGCTGCAGAGAGATCAAAGGGGACAGCAGAATTCAAGAGGCATGTCCCTTGCCTCCATCAGTAAAGAGGTATTCTTGTCCAATGTTGATGTCTAAAGGCAGCAGGGGGTGGCAGAAAATCCAACAGACCAAGAGGTGTGGGTCCTGGGTCCTAGTCACACCAATTACACAACCTCCATCTATGTTACCTTATCTCTGTTAAAAGGACATGCTCTCAAGGCTGAACATCAAAACAGAGGCAGCATGGAGTGGGGCTTAACCCTAAAATATGCTGTCTGGTTTCAAATTGCAGCTCAGCCACTTGCTAACAATTTGGCATTGAGCAATCCGCAGGTAGGGTGAGGGAGAGAGGAAACTGCTAACAGAGACAAGGCAGGTTCCAGAACAATGGGGTATGGGGAGGGTGCATGGGCGCCCCATTGCTTAGTATCATGTCTGACACAGGGTGCCTGAATGTATTTGTTGAATAAAGAAAAAGTCACAGGGAGAAGTAGAAGAGGAGAGAGGGAGAGACTATGAGTCTTAGATTCCCTTCCTTTTGCCAATGTCAAGTTCCTGTTTAACAGCAAAATGTTCTTTTCTCTGTCACCTCTTTAAATAAATTCCTCCTTGACTTAAGCCTGGTCAAGTGCGTCTATTGTTTACAACTAAAAAAATTCTTTAAAACATTCTCAAAACCCCCCAAAATTCCTGGTGGCTTCTTTTGCTCCCCTCCTACTTACAAGTCCCCTTTAGTCTGGTGCTGAAGCCAGCTCTCACAGCCCTGACTCATCACTGACTGTAGGGGGCGCTCTTCTCAGCAGAACCTCCCTGTTGCTCACCTTCCTGGGTTTCCTAACACTCCAGATAAAGACAAACTCCTCACCAGGGTCCTTCTTACGCGTCATCATGATCCCTGCCAACATTCCGCCATTAGTCTACTTCAAGTTCCCTCTGCTCCTCCTCCAGCCACATCAGCCTGTCTTGCTTGCTCCCACACAAGATACCTCCTTCTATCCCAGGACCTTTGCACATGGTGCTCCCTCTTCCTGGAATACCCATTTCTCACTGAGTAAATAACTGCCCATTCTTCTGATCGCAACTCATTGATCCATTTTCCAGGAATTTTTTCCTGATAATCTCCCCTTACACTCTGGGGTAAGTGCTTCTTTTGGATGCTTGTTGGGAGCCTGCTGCCCTAAAAGGAGCTGGAGTTTTTGAAGAATACCTGTTTACTCTGCATACGGAGTTCCAGGACATTAGAAGTTCTGCAAATAGAACTTCTTCCCAGAATTGACTCCTATTCTCTGAGGACCTACTGGCTTCTGCTCATGTTCCTCACTAACCAGAAAAACTTGCTTTCAGTAGTAGCTTATTAATCTGTATAAGCAAAACCACAGTTGCATGCTATTTTCTTGTTCCTTTGTTCATATCTTCAATAAAAGCTTGGGCTGGGAGAGTGAAAGGCAGAGCAGCTCTCGATGGCACTCTCCCTGGCCTCCCCACATTGCAAATTCATTTAGACTCCAAGTCTTTGTTAATGGCAGAGAACTTCATCGGCTGTCCTGTCTGCAGCAGATGCTGTTATGACATCAGGTACCTCTCCTTTATTGCTCTTGTCACAGTTGACATTTAATAATTAGTGTGATTATGGAACCATTAACTGTCTCCGTTCTTATAATGGAAGCTTCATAAGGTTGCTAGGTGTCTCTATATCAAAACTATTATTGAGTAAATGAATGAATTCTCTAGGAACCAACCCTGGTTACAAGGTCTTCGGGGAGGAACCACTCCAGACCCACATTCAGTAAGGGGGTTCACCAGAAATCAGACTGGAAAGGGACACAATGACAGTCCAGGCCTACTGTTCAACCCTGCACCCCACCTTGGCACAACTGAGGCAGTGCAGTTAATTTGCCCAGAGCTCCTGCTCTGCCCTGACAGCTTGATGACCTTGGCATGTTTCTTCTGCTTTATGATCCAGTTTGCTCATCAGTGAAACTGGGAGGTTGAATGAGATGTCTCCTTGCCCTTCTCACTCAGATATTCTCATTTTCAAGATTTTTTGAGGATGTCAGCTGGATCCCATAGCAAGAAAATTCTCAGATTTCAGGTCACAGAACAATGGGTATAAGAGGGATCCAGAGTGAGTGAGACCTACCTGAGCTGCAGCACTCATTTCCTTCTTGACCAGAACAGAGGTGAGGGACACACCACTCTCAGAGATAGCCCGGTGGAAGAGGTTCTTAGACAAGGGAGATAAAACCTGGGAAGGGAGTGGAGAGGAAAGGAGAATATGCTTCTGGACAGGAGGTCTTCAATGACTTCCCTCACCCCTTGTACTGCCCTGGTTCATTTCCCTGGGGACCCTGGAGTTCAGTGGACCCCTCAAAGCCTCTCGTGGCTTTGCCTTTTCTTCAGGTTGCTCCAAGAAAACATCAGCAGGAGGGAGCCAGGACCACAGGGCAAGGGACAGAACACAAAGTATGTGGTTTGTGCCACATTCTGATAATAATCAGAAGCATCAGGAAACTTGTCAAACCCAAGATTCCAAAGTGATGAGATTGAGTATATAAATGATTTCACAGTCTTACCATGGAATACTATGCAGCTATACAAAATAATGTTATGGAAAAGTACTTAATAGTTAGGTACATGTTCATGTTATACTGTAATGCTAAGGGAGATTATTTGTTTAAAAAATCTTAGGTGGGTATGTAGGTAAGTAAGTAGGTAGAGAGATAGGCAGATGGATGGATAGATAGATATCTAAGTTAAACTGAGTTCTGAGCTTCCTGGAGGCTATACTGGGGTCCAAGGAGTGCTAAGTCATTAACTCGCCACCATTTAACATTGTACAGCGTGGGGTCAGCCCTGAACCCAGGTCTAATAAGTAAAGGTGCCAATGGATAGACTGGTTGAATTCCAAGGGATCCAGTCAGCAACCGCATTAGGACCAGAAACACTTACAAGAATAGAGACACTTTCACCTCCTGCTGATTCTCCAAAGATGGTGACAGAGCCTGGGTTCCCTCCAAAGTTAGCAATGTTCTCCTGCACCCAGCGCAGAGCAGCCAACTGGTCCAAGTGACCCCAGTTTCCTAAGCAGTGTTCATCTCCTGTGCTATGAATAAGAGAACAGGGTGGGTTGGGGAGCAAAGAGGTCATGGCTAGATTCTTAAGAACATGGGTGGGGCTGGGAGCTCCAGGTGAGCCTTCTGGAGTAAAACTGGTCTTCCGTGGCTCTGACACATGTCTTCACTTGCCTCCCATTCCTGTAGCACAGTTCCATTGTACATTCATTCATACCACTGAGCATCTTCTGTGGGCAAAGTACTGTCCCCTAAGGCCTAGGAACACTTTTGAGAACAAAATAGGAAAAAAATCTCTCATGGAGCTCATACTACAGATCATAAAAACAAATAGATAAATATAGCATTACTAGTAAAAATGCTTTCAGGAAAAATAAAAAGCAATAAAAGAAAAGGCAGAGGTGAGGTTGGGGAACAGGAGGTTCTGGCAAAGAGCCTAGAAGGTAGAGGCCAGGAGCCAAGAGAAGGAAGCATCTCAAAAAGCTGTGAGCAACCATGTGTGGAAGCTGCCAAGATTGGACCCACAACTGGTGGCATGGCTGCGGTGAAGTGGAGAGACCTGGAGGAGAGGAAGGGAGAGAGCTCATGTAGCACTTTTAGAGTGACAGGAGCAGAGAAAGGGGCTGTGGGTGGGAGGAATGAGGAGAATCAATGAAAGCAAGAAGGCAAAGCAGTCCAGGACGCGACACAGCTCAGAAACCCCTCCCCCAGCTCCCTAGGTCTTTCCAGGGAGCAACCCACCGCTGCCTCAGCCTGTCCACCCGTGGCCCCAGGGGCAGTAGTTCCAGGGCCAGGGCATTCAGAAAAGGCATTCAGAGTAACTGGGTCCTGCAAGAAACTTGGCTCCGGTGCCCATGCAGAGTTGACTGAGAAGGTTCTAGAAGATTCTAACCTTCACTCATTCTCATGTGTGTACCAAACTGGAAGGAAGAGGGGTGAGTGGGCCTAACATTGCTTCTAGGAGGGTTGTCCCAGCCATTGATGTGTGGCTCCAGCCTCCCGTTCCTTTACTCACAAGCATTGCCTAATTTCCTGCTCCTTTCTTCCTTTCCTGCGAGGTAAGAGAAGTAATCTGTCACAGCTGGGCTGCTTGCTAACTTTCATGATGGAGGCATACCATGAGCGGGGCAGCACAGGTGAAAAAGAAGAAAGTTTCAGGAGGTAACATTTGCGCTGGCCCTTGCAGGGTGCATGGGTATCTGTCAGGTCGAGTAGGCATTCCAGGTAGAGGGGCCAGTACATGCCAAAGCTCAGAAACAAGTGAACCATTTCTCCCTCGCACCCCCCCCCCAAAAATCAGGGTTGCAATTGTATGGGGAATATAAAAATTAAAAAAAGAAAAAAATAATATATTATCTGGAATCACAAGTCAGAAGAAATAAAAGCATTGCAAGAACTATACTAAAAAAAAAAAAAAAAAAAAAAAGAAACAAGTGAACCAGTATGGCTGCAGGTTGAGAAGGTAGGTGGAGCCCAATTATGAAAGGACTTGGTGAAGGTGGGGGGGGGTATATAGATAAGTAAGTAGGATCCCCTGAAGGGATTCCCCCTGAGGGCTGACATGCCTGGAAGTGGCCCCAGCACACTCACTTGGAAGTCCACAGTGCAGGGAGGAGACTCCACAATCTTACCTGAAGAATCCCCAGATGCCCAGGCGGTACTGGATGGTCACCACCACCACATTTTCATGGGCAGAGAGGGCCAGGCCATCATAGGTTGATGCTGCGCCCACCACCAAACCCCCTCCGTGGATCCACACCATCACCTGGACAGGGAAGAAGAAACTTACTGGTTATGGAAGCAGAGCTGGAAGGGTGTCCCGTTTGCTTACCTGCTCCTTGGCCATCATCCAAAGAGGCTATTATCTAACGTCCACTTGATCCTACAAATTCAGGAAAGGTACTTTCTTTCCCCATTCTCCCTGCTGGAGCTCCGATCACCATTCCACTTTGGTGGCCCTGCCTGGCTTCCCAGCCTCTGGGCCGCCTTCTCTCAGGACTCCTCATGCTGAGAGCACCACATTGGGAACAGTCAAGGCAAAGGGTGTCATCTCCTCTCAAACACTTGGGTCATCTTCATGCTTGCACCCCCTCACACAGTTTGCCTTCATCTTAGTTACTTCTTGTGCAGTGAATTAAACTTGTCTCCTGTGACAATGATTTTCCTAAGAAGCACACATGCTGGGCCTCCCTGGTGGCACAGTGGTTGAGCGCTGGGTTGCCAAGCTGCCCGCAGCCTCTGCAGCACTGGTTTGATCCCTGACCACCGGCAAGGGTCTCACATGGTGTGCAGACCTCTCCTGTGTGCCTGCTGCTCCCCTCAGCAGTGTACTTCATCACTCTGCCTTTTCTGCTCCCCGCTCTGGCTCTGGTGAATCCTCTCATCCTCCCGCGCTTCTGACTGTACCCAGTACTTGTATAAATAAATAAATAAATCTTAAAAAAAAAAAAAAAGAAGCACACATGCCTCAGGGCTATCTCTTCTTTACATGCCTTCCCTCTGCCTCCTTTGCATTCCCAGATCCCACCCTTCTTCCAAAGTCTGACTGAAAAGTCACCTCCTACAAGAAGTCTTCAGTCATGTTCATAATGAACATGACCTAAGAACTTACTGTTGCCAGGAACTGTGATGAGAATTGAGGATGAGTGCTTACAGCAGACACCATTCAGCTTTTGTATTTAAAAAGGTCACATAGGGGGCCTCCCTGGTGTCCCAAGGGGTTAAGCACCAGCACTGTGAAGCTATCCATGAGTTAGATCCCTGGCCAGGGAGCAAACCACATGGTGCAGCAAACCTCTCCTGTCTCACCTGCTGCTCCCCTCACCAATGTATTTTGGTGGATCCGCCTGTTCTGCTCCCCACTCTGTCTCTGGTGAGTCCTCTCAACCCCTGCACCTCTGGCCTACAGCTCTTGTATGCATAAATAAAATGAATCTTTAAAAAAAATAAAAAGCTCACATAGCAATTTAGACAGGGTGGCTAATATAATATTATAGTAACTTTGGGGCCTCCCTGGTGGTGCAGGGGTTAAGATGCAACCTATGAAGCAATCCGCAGCCACTGCAGCGCGAGTTCGATTCCTGGCCGGCCAGGGAGAAACACACATGGCAGGACAGACCTCTCCTGTCTCACCCACTGCTCCCCTCAGCAGTGTACTTCAGTCCTTCTGCCTGTTCTGTTCCCGGCTCTGTCTCTGGAGAATCCTCTCACCGCCGCCCCCCCCCCCCACATCTCTGGCCTGTACCCCAGTTCTTGTATAAAAATAAATAAATCTTAAAAAAATATTATAGTAACTTTTCACTAAAAAAACCAAAGAACTCAACACAAATATGTGCCCAGTACTGTCTGAAGCACTTTGAAAGAAACCATTCATGAGGTACATACTGCTGCCCCATTTAACAGACAGGAAAACGTAGGCGCTGAACTTGCCCAATCACGCACCTACTAAGTGGTGCTTTATTTAACCCAGGCAGTCTGGTTGAGAGTCCACATGGGGAGCCGCCCAGCACTCTGCAGCCAACGAGGCACAGCAGCAGGCCAGCTGTTAGGGTAGGAATAAGATCTAAGGTCTTCCCTTCAGCTCCCACTAATGCTTCAAGAGCACTCGCCTTGTGCACTTTGCCAGGCACAGAGATCAAGTTTGCTATTCACCTCTGAATACTCATGTAATTACTCCTGATTTGAGGAAACAGAACCAGGCCTCCTGTCACAAAAGGCAGAAGCAGGATAATACCCAGACCCCAGAGTAGAGCTGGGTCCCCAAGTAGAGGTTCTCCAGCCATCAGCTCCCAGGCCCCTGGACCTCCCTACCCCTGCTGACCTCTGGCCAAAGGGCAGAGCTCAGTCATTTCTGAATGAAGACTGAGCCAAGAGCTGCTCAGTGTGATTTGCCAAGAAAGTTAGTTGATGTCTGCAGCCCAGAAGGTAAGATCTTTGAAGGCAGGAGCCGGTGGCCATGGTTGTAGGTTCCTCCCCTTCCCGTAGCAACCTGGGCTGACTGCCAACATGGGGTACTGAGGCCGTAACAGAAGAGTGGCTGAGTGAATGGATGGTGAACCTTCCTCCTCACCTCTCTGAACGAAGCACGTGTAGTGCCAGCTTTTAGTTATAGGTTCACAGATGCCCTCCCACACTCCTGGGCATCTTGCCAGGGGTGCTCCTGGCTGATGGCGGGTGTTCAGGCCCCTCCCAACTCAGGGGCAGCCTTCTCCAGCTGACCCTCCCCCTCCCAGCAGCCTGAGACTGGAGGATGGGCCTCCATTTACTCTGCAAATGCTGACTCACTGGCTCACCAGCCAGTGCCAAAGACAATTAGGGAGGGAAATTAGCTACACTAAAATCCCAGAGAGTTGGCCAAAGGCAAAGGAAAGTTCTTCCTGGATTGCCCTAGACCCTGTCCCCTCATTCTCTGTCCCATACTCTGTTCCTTGTGTGCTCAGGAAAGGACACAGTCAAAGAACACCGCTTGGAGGTCAGAAGATCCGTGCTTTCCTCTGACAGCCTCCCTGTGTGACCTCTCCACCCTCTCTCTGGGCCTAGGTTTCTCTGTAAAGGAAGAACTGGGCTGCTGTTTATCTCTGAGAGTCCTACCAGCTCTGATTTTATTAGAAACAATATCTTAGCTGCTCTGGATATCAGATTCCTGATCTAGTAACTAAGAGTAAACCTTCTTCTAGTACATGAAAGAACTCGGAAAGTGCAAACTTCCTTCAGTGATGCTATGCCTGTTTCTAGGAGAAAGGGAAGTGTGGGGCATACGTGTTTCCTGCAGTCACATGGTCTGGCTGTGGTGGTAAAGGACGCCTGGGGGCCCTGCAGAGATGCATCTGCCCCAAGCCACCTTCATCCTCTTGCATCTACACCTGGAGCTCCTGGAGTGCTGGAACACACTAGCCGTGAGCTGTGGGCCCCATGCTTACCGGAAGTCTGCTTTTCTTTGTCAAGTCAGCAGGAGTGTAGATATTTAGGTAGAGACAGTCTTCGGAAGTCTTGAGAGGGATGCTGTCCTTTCTGTTGGTAAAGAGCTCTGACAGCACTTGGCCCCCCACTGCATCTTGGGAGCACCTGGGTTGGGTGGGGAGAAAGAAAAACCCCAGAACTCAACAGAGCTAAGTAAGGAGGCATCTCCTCCTGTCAGAGTGAGCCTAGGCTGGGAGGTCTAGGCATAAAGTTGTTCTTACCAGACTTGGATGCTGGAATGGGTAGGAGGTGGTTTGGATGGGAGGCCCTGGGGTTCACCAAGGTCACTTAGGGGAGTCACTAAGACCCCAGGAGCTGGGTCAAGAAGAGGACACTGCCCACCCAGGAGATGACATTCCTGCATGATCTGGACATAGTCTGCTGGCACTGGGTGGGCTACAGGGGACCATGTTCCTCCACTAGGTAAATGTCTACTAGGCCACAGGAAACTTCAATAAACCACGAGAAGTCACTCAAGTGGCAGACATAAGGGCCTGCAGCAGGTCAGAGTTGACCTATTTGAGGGTCAGCTTCAGGAGGATTGCACTCTAGTCTTGCTTCCACCACTAGTTTGTTGGGTGACTTTGGTGAATTCCTTCCTCGGTCCGGGCTCCAATCTACCAGATCTAAGTGAAGGGAATGATTCCCATAGGGGTCTTCCAGCCCTTACGTGCTAAGGTTGTGCCACCAACCCACCCTGAGCAAGGGCTGTCGGTTGCCCTAATAACGGAACTTAAAGATTCCACATAGATTATAATTGGTGATATTTCTTGAGTCCACCAGTATGCCAGGCGTTAAGTTTAACTCACTGAATCCTCAGATCAGCCTCCATGACAAAAGTTCTATTATTACCCATTTTACAGATGACAAAACTGAGGCACAGGGAGGCTAGAGCAAACATCCAAGGTCACACAGCCAGGAAGAGCTATGATGTGCAGTGCTTATATTTCCAGATCTCCGCATGCCCAGAAGGCAGGCAACAACAGCCCAGGATGGAGATGCAGTGACTGGAGTACCAAGGTGTCTGGTGACAGAGCTCTCCAGGGGCAGCCCTGGAACCCACAATAATGGTTTCCTGGTTTCCATCCTGGGGGACCTTTCCCCTGATCATCAAGAGTAAGAGCCATAAATAAAAGGAACTCAAATGTTAAAAAAGGGAACAAGCAAGACTTCCATGCTACTAGAATTCAAATAAATGAAGAATAAATAACATATAACGATAATGACTATAGTTATTACTACTGCCTTGCCTACCTAACAATCAAAATATGTTTTGTAATAATCCCAAGTGGTGAAGGCCTCCCTGGTGCACCGTTAGGGGTTAAGTCTCAGCTCTGTCATGCTGGCACTGCTTTGACCTGAGCTCCATCCCCTGTACGGAGCTCACCCACATGGTGCAGCAGCCCTCTCCTGTCTTGCCTGCGGTGCCCCTCAGCAGAGTATTTCAGCAGATCTGCTTGTTCTGCTCCCCACTCTGTCTCTGGTGAGTACTCTCACCCCAGCACCTCTGTTCTACACCCCAGCTCTTGTACGCATAAATAAATTAAATAAATCTTTTTTTTTTTTTTTTAAAGAAGGACGTGGGCCTCCCTGGTGGCGCAGGTTGAGTGCTGTGCTGTGAAGCTGTCCGCAGCCTCTACAGTGAGGGTTCGATTCCCGGCGCCTGGCAAGGGTCCCACATGGTGCGCAGACCTCTCCTGCTGCCCACTGCTCCCCTCAGCAATGTCTTCGGTTCGCCTGCCTATTCTGCTCCCCGTTCTGTCACTGGTGAATTCTCTCACCCTCCCGTGCCTCTGAATGTGCCCCAGCTCTTGTGTAAATAAATCTTTTTTTTTTTAAAAAAAGGAAGGAAGTGGGGCCTCCCCGACGGCACAGCGGTTGAGCACTGGGTTGCGAAGCTGCCCACAGCCTCTGCAGCGCCAGTTAGATCCACGGCCACCAGCGAGGGTCCCACATGAAGCACAGACCTCCCCTGCTGCCCACTCCTCCCATCAGCAGTGTACTTCGTCAGTCTGCCTGTTCTGCTCTCTGCTCTCTGCTCTGGCACTTCTGATTGTACCCAGTGCTTGTATAAATAAATAAATAAATAAATCTTTGAAAAAAAATAAAAGACATTGTGTTAAAAAAAAAAAAGGAAGGAAGAGAGAGAAGGGAATGGAGGGAGAGAAGAAGAAAAGAAGAGAGAAGAAAGGCCAACAAGAGGCAGGATCCTGGACATTCCCAGAAATCCTTGCTGAGGTGATGAGCGGTCTGAGGTAGCCTGGGGGACGATGCTGGGGCTTCCTTGCTCGACTTGATGAGGGTGACTAGAGTCAACCACTGCTCTGCTTGTGTCTAGCTGGCTCATCTTGGGGGTCGAGAACTTGCCTAGTCAATACCCAAAGCATTCCTCACCCTTAGACCTCTTGGATTATCCCCCTCTCCAACTCTGAGAAAGTTCAAGAAAGGAGAATAAATGGAATCATTACATCTTATCCATCTCATCTGCTGGACTTCTTGTTTCTTTCCAAAGCACTTACCATATTTCTACATATGACATTATTTGCTTATCAATTTGCATATTGTGTATCATGTACCCTCTTGCCAGAAAGCAAGCTCCATGAAGGTAGATCTTTGTTCTATTCATTAATGGATCCCAGGCGCCTAGAACATGCACACAAGGCATACAGTAAATGCTCAATAAATGTTTGTGAAATACAGCGCTCTAAAATGTTAGGTGAATTCTGGGATTTTTTAAGGATCTATGCTCTCTTGAGGATTCTAGAACAAAGTAGAAGCCACTCAGAGAGTTGCCTTGTTCCTTCCCACATCACTTTGATGCAAACATCCCAGCGGAAAGATACCGAAGCCACCCCTCCCAACCCCAGCTTACATGGGTGGGTAAGAGGTGGTGTTCTTCACAGAGCTCCATGGCTCTGCAGGCTGTGGGGGCGCGAATCTCAGGGACCCGAGAGGCGGCTTGGCGAAAGGGACGCTCAGGAAGACGGCCACGGGCTGCGTGAATCCTTTCAGGGGGACGTACTTCCCCAGGACTTTGCCCTGCACAGTGTCCACCACAGGCGCCTTGGACGGGTGTCCTGGGGACGTGGGGAGGAAATGGGACAAGGCAGAGGTGAAGGGTTTGACTTGGTCTCACGTGCGTCTTGTCCCTCTTGGCGTATGACCCCGAGGGAAGAACTTTGACTCTTGGACTCAGTTTTTTCCTGACTCCCACAGTTGCTTTTTTTTTTTAAGCTTTATTTATGCATACAAGAGCTGGGGTGCAGGTCAGAGATGTGGGGGTGAGAGAATTCACCAGAGACAGAGTGAGGAGCAGAACAGGCAGACTGACTGAAATACACTGCTGAGGGGAGCAGTGGGGAACCAGGAGAGGTCTGCTGTGCCATGTGGGTCGCTCCCTGGCCAGGGATCAAACTTGTGCTGCAGTGACTGCAGATATTTCATGGTGCTGAGACTTAACCCCTTGCGCCACCAGGGAGGCCCCTCCCACAGGTTTTTTAAGGAGCAAACTGGAATGGAGGTTAATCAAGTAGACAATAAATGAAAGATGCAAAAACACATTTTGTTTCCACACCTTGAGCCTCTGCATACAACGATCTTCTGCGATGGGGGGCTGAACAGCCTCTGCATGAGGGCATGGACACGAGGCTCTCTGAACCCTATCAGGAGAATGAGCCACCCACATTTTCAACTCTACAGATGGAAAGAAAGTGGTCAGGGTCCTGGGAGCCGTACTTTTTGGGGCTACATGGGTTAGGTGAAGAAACCAGGTCTTGTGCTTGGTGGCTTCATGGAAGGGGTGTACTTGGAGGGGAGAGTGAACAGGAGGTCTGAGGAGGGATCATAAAGTATAAAGCAGAGAAGAGAGTGTTTTAAGGCAAGGGTCAAGCCAGCATGAGGCAAGGCTCGGCAGAGGGAGAGCCAGTGACCCAGCTGGGCCAGATGGAATCTGGGGGAGTAGAAAATCAGTCAGCAAGGAGAGGTTCTGTCTGGGAGGGCTGCGGGTGCCAGGCTAAGGGTTTAGGCTTTATCCAGTGGGCAAATGAGCAGCAGTGAATGCTCTGGAGTATGGGAGAGTGACATGATTGTGACATAGCCACTTAAAGAAGATTCTTCCGGTGACTCTGAGCCAGAGGGGAGAGGGACTGAGGCCAGATTCCTATCTGCTCCATTCCTGTGGAGGTCTTGCTCACTGGGCTGACACTCCGCCACACAGCTTCCACGTCGGTCCTCATTCTGCCTGCGCTGGGGCCACCTTGCACTTTCAGGTGAACCAATCTCCAACTCTCCTCACATCTGCCCTTAATAGGCCAGCTTACTGAAGAATCCCTCACGGGAGGTGATTTCTAACCTCTCGCCTTCCAACTTGCTCTCCTTGGAATATAGAAGAAATGTCAACATCTCCTAAGTGTGTGGACCAGAACAGAAAGAATATTATCCAGAGTTGGTCTTATGAAAGATGTGAGACTCTATAAGTGAAATCATTTTACAAACTAGTGTTGGGGCCTCCCTGGTGCCACAAGGGGTTAAGACATAGCACTATGAGGCAATCCGCAGCCACAGCTGTATGAGTTTGATCCCCAGCCAGGGAGCTACCCTGAGCAGTGCCATGACAACACTCACTGACACCCACTGCTGAGCTTCCCTCAGCAGTGTATTTCAGTCAGTCTGCCTGTTCTGTTTCCCATTCTGTCTCTGGTGAATCCTCTCACCCCCCACACCTCTGGTCTATACCCCAGTTCCTGTATGCATAAATAAATAAATCTTTAAAAACAAAAACAGGGCCTCCCTGAAGATGCAGGTGGTTGAGTGCAGCGCTATGAGGCTGTCTGCAGCCTCTGCAGCGTGGATTCGATCCCGGCCAGCTGGGGGGATACCTGCATGGCGCAGCATACCTTTCCTGTCTCGCCCACTGGTCCCCTCAGCAGTGTATTTCAGTTGGTCTGCCTGTTCTATTCCCTGCTTTGTCTCTGGTGAATCCTCTCACCCTCTTGCACATCTGGCCTGTACACCAGTTCTTGTGTGCATGAATGGATAAATCTTTAAAAACAAAAACAAAAACCCAAAAACTAGTGTCCATGTCTCATGTTAATAATAGTCAAGCCCATATGCGGCCATTTATAACAGCTTGTTCTGCTTTTGCTGCTAATTATTTCCAGTGACACCCAGCCATGTTGGGTAATGCTCAGTTACATGTAAATCAGGATGTCAGTGGGTGGTGTCACGGCAGGTGACATGTTCCCTCTGTGCTTTCCAGATTTTTGCACTGACCTCAAATTCCTCTTTACAATTAGAAGACATTTTTATGAGGAAATAGAGTGATGTCTAAGGAACTTTTAAAAAATATTTATTTATTTATGCATACACGAACTGGGGTATAGTCCAGAGGTGTGTGTGTGGGGACATGAGAGGATTCACCAGAGACAGCGTGGGAAGCAGAACAGGCAGATTGACTGAAATACACTGCTGAGGGGAGCAGCAGGTGAGTCAGGAGAGGTCTGCTGCACCATGTGAGAAGCTCCCTGGCTGGGGATCGAACTCATGTTGCAGTGGCTGGCAATAGCTTCATAGTGCTGCGTCTTAACCCCTTGCGGCAACAGTGAGGCCCCTGTCTAAAGAATTTTGAAGATGGATTTGGCCCCTGACCAGATAGAGGGGGGCATGGAAGGAAAAGGAGAAAACCAAAGCACCTACTTTAGGTGGTAAGTTCCATTTTAGGCAGAAGGTGTGAGAGGCCACAGTAAGTGGGCTTTTCAAGACAGGAAGGCGGGCAGGTGAAGGGAGAATTGTCTTCCTGATGGTGAAAGCACAAACCCTGGATGTGTGTGCTTTCGTTCAAGAGGCCACTGTGAGAGAGAGGAGAAAGAGCTACAGAGCCAGCCAGGGAAACTGCAGCCCAGGCTGAGGGCCTCCATGGGTGGGTGAGTCAGAAGAGAGCCAGAGGGGGTGGGGAGCACAGAGTCAGGTGGAAGGGGTTTCAAGAATGCAGAGTGTTGCAAAGAGGCAAAGGAGGGTAATGTCTGACAAGAAACCAGAGTCCATAAAGGTCTTTGTCAGCCTTCAGAGAGATGAAGTGGGTGTGTGAGCTGCAGAGGACTTCTGGGAGCCGAAGGGCAGACAGAGACCTTGAGGATGTTAGTGAGTGAATTCGGGGCCTGATGCTCTTGGGCTGCACCTGGGCCTGGAGCTGCGCTCCTACTTGCTGGTGTCTGCCTGCTGCCCTCCCTGGGCCCTGCAGGTATCACGTGACCATGTGAACAATAATGACAACAGCGGTGCTTGCTTAGGTTAATGCTGAACTCTTACTGTGTGCCAGAGGGGCCTTCCAGTTCAATTAATTAACATACGTGAAGGCCAGGGCCTCCCTGGTGGTGCAAGGGGTTAAGCTGCAACCTATGAAGCTATCGGCAGCCACCTCAACGCGAGTTCAATCCCCCAGCCCGCCAGGGAGCAACCCATATGGCGCAGCAGACCTCTTCTTCTGACTCGCCCTCACCTGCTGCTCCCCTTAGCAGTGTACTTCGTCTAATCTGCCTGTTCTGTTCCCCACTCTGTCTCTGGTGAATCCTCTCACCGCACACACCTCTGGCCTGTACCCCAGCTCTTGTATGCATAAATAAATAAATCTTAAAAAAAAAAAAAACACGCGTGAAGGCCTTGCTCGCTAGGTGCTAATATGCCCATTTCACAGAGGAAACAGAGGCAGCCAGTATGGCCTTTCTTAAGATGGAATTCTCCATCCTGGCCAGAGATAGATAATCATCAGGAAGGGACTATTCCACACCTAATCTGGCTCCTTTCTGACTCTGCGCTCTCCTCAGTGCCAGCCCTCTCACAACTCACGCCACCAGAAAGAAGAGAAAATCCAGACAGGGCCTGTGCTGCCCGGGCACCGATGGCCAGCACCCTGCCTGCAGATTCAGCAGAAGATTCCAGAGCGTGACTCCCCCTTTGACCTTGGGCCACACATTTCCCTTATAAAGCCTCAATTTCCCCACCTATACCAGGACTCCGGGAAGGACTGGGGTCCCTTGCTTCCCCCTTGTACTAAACATGCCTTTTATTTTCTGTGTTCTGATGCCTTGCTGACCCTAGAGGGATGGAACCCCACAGAGTCAGCTAATTCCTGGAGACAGTAATCAACTTGCCCTTTGAGCATGCCAGGCCCATGCCCAGAGCCCCCTTCACCGACTCTCATGGGTTCGGTCGCTGTTGTCCTGCCCTAATCATTTCAGGGCAAGGCCCCTGGCAGCCACTGACAGCCCTGGCCAGAGCCCACTGGAAGTGGCGAGCCTGCTACTCCTAAATCTGCCTGACCTCTCCCTTCCCCTGGCAACTACAGACAAGGTCCTTGCCCACAACTGCTCTCCTCTGTTCCTGCCCCACCCCACCATGGTGGACATTCCCTCCTCCTCTTGGTAACTACAACAAGCTTTCTTTGCAGTGGCAGTCAGCTCTTAATCTGTTGTTGGTTTTAGCATACCGCAAATATTCTATTCATGCATTATATTTTAAAACAACCCCTTTACTTACAGAGCCCCTTTTAGTACCACCTGCGTACCAAGCTCTATGTTCCCTAGCAATGGCCACCCATTTCCACCTCACAACAGCCCAATGAGGCTGGAACTACTGTGCCCAGGACAGGAGTTTTCTGGGAGGGGAAAGCTAGGCACAGAAAAGTGAAGAGCCTTGCCTACAGACACAGCTAGTAAGTGCTGAGCTGGGATTTGAATCTACATGTGCTGGCTCCAGGGTAGATACTGTTAGTATTCTGCTAAACCACTCTCCCTGATTTGGATGTAACCTGACTAATCATCAAGGGGAAAGAAACTGAGCTCTCTGATGTCCCCATCTGTGGTGCATGAGACAGCTGCCCTCCTGCACATGACAGGTGCAGTTGATCTCTAGGGTTTTCCCTCCCTGCATCGAGCAGTCCTGGCTGCCTGGGCTCTGCAACCCCTTGGCAGGCATGCCTGCTGCAGACCATACCTGCCGGGCGTTTGCTATCAGTGCCTTTGCCAGGTATGCATCTTAGTTTTTTTTTTTTTTTTAGTTCCAGGAGGAGGATATCTAAATGTGCCTCCTGCTATCTGCATTTCAGAAGGACTCACCCCAAGCGTCAGAAGTGATGAGGGAGACCAGGACCAGAGCAGAGAGCCACATCTCTGAAGAACAACAGCTCCTGGGTGCTGTGAGGTCTCCACTGTCCTGTGGAGCAGTGTCAGTCCAGCTCCAGTGCCCTAGCTCCTGCCCCCCAGCTGCCTGCTACCCAGCTCCAGTTCCCGCCCCTGTTTCTGCCCCACCACACCCCACCCCCAGGACTTGCCTCCACTGTCAATTGCCTAATCAGGAGGCAACCTGAAAAAGCTCTGCCCCTTCCAAAGTGGCTCCAGGGGTCAGTTGGGGCTTTTAAGCCACGCCTACCCAGAGTTTACCCTCTTTTATCTAAACTGCTTGGACTAAATAACCTCTCAAATTACAGCCAGCTAAAGGCTCCTCTAAACAACCTGTTACATAAGGGTTTCTCCCTTGCAGGATGGCAACCTTAGTGTGAAGTGAGCTTCCCACAGGTTGGTGCTAGCACTTACCTGCTTTTAGGCAAGGGAAGTGCTGGTCTGGGGACATGAGAACAAGCTTGAAAAGTTTTAGAACAATTCTCAGTCCCTCAGCTGCTCAAATGGGGCATTTAGGACAAATCTTCCAGTTTTCTGAGCTGTTATTTCTTAAAGTTCTATGCTCTAGACTCTATTCTTAAAGTTTAAGCTGGAGGAATCTTAACATTTCATCCAGTTCTCCTTCTGAGGCCAAAATTAACTTTTCAATATTCAGCTCAAGTGACTCAGGGAACTCACCACCTCTCCAGGAGAGGTCGCTGTACAGAATGTTCTTACAGTAAACAGACTCCATCTCGCCATAGTCCCTGACCCTAATCATCCATCTAGCCATCCTCCTATTTATTCATTATTCCAGTTGTTCACTCATTCTTCCAACATTTACCAAATGCCTGGTGCTATGCTAAGTATTACATATACAAAGATGAATTCAAGAATGTTCCATCTTCCTAAGGGGCTCTCCAGATAAGAGAGGAGTGGAGGAGGGCATGCATTGCAGTGCCAAAGCACCAAAGCAAAGAGCTAAAAAGTGCTCTGGGCAATTCTGGGGAAGTGCCATTTACGTACTGGGGACACAAGGAAGATGCCCAAGCCTATCTGATAGAATCATTAAATGCTCAGCAATGAGGAGCTAAATAAACTCTGGCAAAGCTGGCTAAGGAAATGCACTCACTCAAGCCAACGGACACCTCTATTTGTTAACAGGGGAAGGCAGTCATGGTCGATTGTGAAGGGGAAACAACAGGTTAAAAAGTAATAGTGGCTACTCTTTAGGAAAACAATTTGCAGTTCCTCAAAAAGTTCAGCACAGGGCTACCATATGATCCAGCAATTCTACTCCTAGGTATCTACCCAAGAGAAATAAAACATATCAAGACGAAAACTTACACATAAATAATAGCATTATTCATTACAGACAAAATAACCATTAACAACAACCCAAATAACCATTAACTGATGAAAGGACAAATAAAAGTGGGTTCTAGTCATAAGATGGAATATTACGCAATCACAAAAAGAAATGAAACATTGCTTTCTAAATCATGAGTGAACCTTGAAAATACGATGTAAATGTAAGAAGTCAGACACACAATAGGCCACCTATGGTATGATTCGATTCATAGGAAATGTAAAGAGAGGAGACTCATGGCTGCCAGGGGCTGGGGTAGGAGCTATGGGGAATGACTGCTAATGGGTATGTGACTTCTTTGTGGTACTCAAGCCCATGAACTGACACTGTTATCTCCTGGGGACTCAGAGTGGTTGGAAAAAATGGTGACACATCAAGGAAGAGGAAGAGCTAAGGGTTGAGCAAAAGCTGAATAATGTTACAGATGATACTCTCAACCACTTGACCCAGGTGTCAAAAACTTTTTGACAAGCCAAACATTTGTGGCACCCTAGGCACCTGCCGGATTCACCCCCTTCTAAGTGCCCACACTGCCCTGGAGGCCACTCCTGGGTCCTCAGGCTGCCTGGAAACATGGCTGGCAACAGGAGTGCTGGGATTTCTGGGACAAGAGGGCCTAGGAGGCAGTACTGACCTATGATGCAAATTTCATTGTCCCCTTCTCCCAATGTGGACAGGTTGGAGAAGTTGCTGCCCAACCAGAAGTTGCATTCTCTACCCCCTTGCATCAAACTGGAGTCCTCAGTTCACTCTTGCCAATGGAGGGCAGCCATGAAGTGAGGTTATTGCGGGGCGAGGCAGCTAGTGAGGCGGCAACTGGGCCTTCTCCACGCTTACACTGTTTCCCCAGTGTTATCTGGCAACCCTGCCCTGGTCTAGACATGGCCAATGTGCGATCAGGAAGAACTGGGTAACCAGCTGCCATAAAGCACAAGACAGTTCCAGAAAAGTGCATGCATTCTTGGCCAAGGCCACAGCTTACAGCTGAAAGGAAGATTCTGGCACCCCAAATTCAAAAAATAGGATGCTCACTTGCATTCATGCTAGCCACTGTAGCTGGCCAGTGAGAAGGAACCCTGTGGTGGGGATAAAATTGTGACAGCATGACAGTTGGTCCCCAGAAGCAACTGCCTCCACAAAGATTGACCCGGACTGGGGTTCCTCTCTTACTTTTACCCAGGAAAGAACTGCAAATCATAAAGATCATCCTAAAAATGAGCATCACATCTCTACCCACAGGGGACACTCTGGGTGGTCCTTCTAAACTGAAAACAAGTGGCTTCTAATCACATGGCATCATACACACACACACACACATCCCCTACCTATTTTTTCTAAACTGTCTGTTTCTTTTTTTATCTAAAGATTTATTTATGGGCCTCCCCGGTGGTGCAAGGGTTGAGCGCTGGGTTGCGAAGCTGCCCGCACCATTTGCAGCGCCGGTTCAACCCCCGGCTGCTCCCCGGCCACCGGAGGAGGGTCCCACATGGCGCACAGACCTCTTCTGCCTCCCACTGCTCCCCTCAGTAGTGTACTTCAGTCTGCCTGCTCTGCTCCCTGCTCTGGCTCTGGTGAATTCTCTCACACTACCGCGCTTCTGACTGTACCCAGTGGTTGTATAAATAAATAAAAATAAATCTTTTTTTAAGAAATAAAGATTTATTTATATTTATTTATGCATACAAGAACTGGGGTATAGGCCAGAGGTGTGGGGGGTGAGAGGATTCACCAGATATAGAGCAGGGAACAGAACAGGAAGACTGACTGAAATGCACTGCTGAGGGGAGCAGTGTGGGCACTTAGGGGGTGAATCCAGCAAGTGCCTAGGGCACCAAAAATGTTTAGCTTCTCAAAAAGTTTTTGACACCTGGGCTGAGTGGTTGAGAGTCAGGGGGGGTCTACTCCACCAAGTGGGTAGCTCCCTGGCCAGGGATTGAACTTGTGCTGCAGTGGCTGTGGCTAGCTAGCTTCATAGTTGCGTCTTATCCCCTTGTGCCATCAGGGAGTTCCCCTCCCCCCACCTATTAAAATAACCATCTTACCTCTTATCCTGGCCAGCTGGCCTGTGTAACTTGGGAATACAGCCCGTATTCTTAGACCATGAAGATTGTAGGATACTATCTTAGCAAAACATAAAAGGTAAGGGTGAACTATTCTCTCAACCCCACTGATCAATCACATGCCGACTGGCGACATGAACCGACAGAGGCAGCCACTCCCAGACCTAGCTGCACCTGGCTGCAGCCTGGAAGCCCATGGTTGGCTCATCATGACTCTGCAAAAGTGATAGGTGAGACTGGCATCTACCGAGCCTCAAGCCAGAACTCAGTTTTGCTAAGCATGAGCCAGCTCCTGGTCACATGAGCTGTAAGTGATACGGTTCTCCTTGTTTCCACGGCGGGTGAGTGCGATCACCTCTTTTCTCTTAGGGGAAGTCTCTAGGATTTCCAAGGTTTAAGTACTTGGGCAAGTATTAGGAGAGACAACATCTCTGGGGCTCCAAATTAACCTCCTGAAACTGCTCCATCTCCGTAAATTTACTCATGAGATATATGGAGAACAAATTCTAGAACAAACACTAGATGTCATACTGGGCCCTTCACTTGGCTTTGCCCATGAATCATGGAATTAATCAGGTATCTTTGCAAAATACAAGTATTAACAAATAATATAAATGTATATCAATATAAAAGGTGAATGCAGTACTGGGGGACACTCGAAGACCTCAAGTGTCCTGACCTCAAGTGACCTGACCTGCTGTTCAGGTCAACAAGGTAGTGGTCTGAGGTTTGAACCGGGGTCAGCAACGCTGGCATGAAGGGTCAGATAGCAAATATTTTACGTTTTTCAGGCCATATGGTCTCTGTGGCAACTACTCAGGGTGGGATGATCTCTCACAACCACTCTGGATCAACATTCTGTGAATCTAGAATTTTATGACACTTTCCAGTGCAGCCGGGACATCTACAGTGTTTCTAGCACTTCAGTTATTCTCATCCTGACATATTTCTTGCCATGTCAGCGTGCCATCTGTACTGCTGCTGCTAGCAGTTTTCTTTAAATGGATTTTGTTTTTTTAAGATTTCTTTTTATTTATGCATTCAAGAACTGTGGTGTAGGCCAGAGGTGGAGGGAGGGTGGTGGTGAGAGGCCTCACGAGAGACAGAGCGGGGAGCAGAAAGGCAGATCTATTGAAATACACTGCTGAGGGGAGCCGCAGGGGAGACAGGAGAGGTCTGCTGCGCCATGTGGGTAGCTCCCTGGCCAGGGATCAAACTAGTGCTGCAGTGGCTGCGGCATCTTGATAGGCTGACTTTTACCCCCGTGGCACCAGGGAGGCCCTAAATGGATTCTTGTACACATACATTTGAAAAGGACATTTTACACATTTCCTTCATGGAAGACCTGTACAACTTACCATGAATTAAAGTTAAGCATGGTGCTGGAGCCCAGCTCCAGCTAGAAGTCGTGTCAGGGATTTCCGAGAGGAGAGGACGGCTTCTGCCAAGTTTTCTCAGGGGACAGAGGGGAGGGGAAGTGGAGCCAGGCAGGAGTGAGGAAGACACAGACACCCTATTTTGGGCAAGTGTCTCCTGCTGAGGGTCTCAGCGGGTCTTTATTTATACCTTAAGGAGAGGGAGTGGTGAGATTACATCAGCATAAGCATTGAGGCAGAGCAGAGACAATCAATAT